TATTCTTTATTGGTACAGTATATGTTTACAGTACATAATGATCACATCCCTCATGAAGAGTTGGTACCTGTGCATAACACATCTTTTTTTTTGGTACCGGGGATCGAACTCCAGACCTTGTGCTTGCAAGGCAGGCGGCGGAACCACTGAGCTAAATCCCAAGCCCTGTACATAACACATCTTAATTCTTTCCTCTTCCTCTCCCTTTTGATCCCTCTTCCATTTGAGAAAGATCTAGCTCCCTGCTTCCCATTATCTTTTATTATGCTCTTTTGTCATATAAGAGAAACCATGTGATATTTAAACTTGTGTGTCTCATTTATTTCATGTAACATTAAGGTGCATCCATTTTCCTACAAATGACTCGTTTAGCCTTCTTTATGGCAGAGTACTACTCCATTGTGTAAAAATGTCTATTTTCTTTATCCATTCATCTGTTGATCAACATATAGGCTGTTTTCAGGATTTGGCTATTATAAATTGTGTGGCTCTAACTATATGTGTATCACTATAATATGATGTCTTTAACTCTTCTGGGAAGATACCTGGAAGGGAAATAGCTGGGTCAGCCCTTCCTTTTAAAGGCTGAATAACAATGCTATAACATTGGTGTACAAATATCTGTCCAACTCTGTTTTCAATTCTTGTAGCTGTACACCGAGGTGGAATTACTGGATTAATTGGTAATTCTACATTTAATTTTCTGAGGACTCTCCATAGTGTCTTGCAGAGTGGCTATGCTATTTGTACTAGATATGTACAAGCATTCCTTTCTCAACATCCTCACCAATGCATTCATCCTAAAAAATGTTAAGTGCTCATTGTGGTTTTGATATGTAGTTCCCTAATGGTTCGTGACATGGAGTGTCTTTTCCTAGCTGTAGCTATTTGTGTCTTCTTTGGATACATTTCAAGTCCTTTGCCCATTTTAAAATTGGGTTTTGTTGTTGTCTGGTTGTAGCTCTATGTTCAGAATATTCATGACTTACTGGATATTTGCTGCCATTCTGTGGAATTTTCTTCTTCGTGTCCTTTAATGTATATTTTTAATTTTGATGTACTAAAACTTATTTTTGGTATTGCTTGTACTTTTGGTATCATATACCAGGAACTGTTCCCAAATTGAAGACATGAATTCCCCACTTTCTTCTAAGACTTTGATAGTTTTGGCTCTTACATTTAGATTTTTGATCCATTTTGAGTTAATTGTACCTTGTATAAAGCAAGAGTCCAACTTCATTCTCTTGCATGTAGGTATCATTTTTCCAGTACCATTTGTTGAAAAGACTATCCCACTGGTCATTGCTCCTTTGTGGAAAATTATTGAACATATATGTGAGGTTTTATTTCTGGGTTATTTCATTGGTTTATATGTCTTTATGCCAGTACAACATTGTTTTGATTACTGTAAATAAGCTTTGAAATTAGAAGTGTAAACCCTCCAACTTTGTTCAACTTTTTTTTTTGGTACCGGGGATCAAACTCGGGTCCTTGCACTTGCAAGGCAGGCGACAGAACCACTGAGCTAAATCCCTGGCCTGTTAAACTATTTTGGCTATTCTGATTCTCTCAGGACTCCCCGTGAATTTGATGGATTTTGCTACTTTTGGAAAAAAAGTCATCTTTGGTAGTACTGATATACTAATATTAAATTTTCCAATCCATGAATGCTAGATTTGTCATATTTCTTTCCGCAGTGTTTTACTGTGTAGTCTTCCTGCCTTGTTAAACTTCTTTTTAAGTATTACATGTTTGTTATGCTACTGTAAATAGAATTTTTCTTAATTTCTATTTTGGATTATTTAGTATATATAAGTACACCTGATTTTTGTGTATTATTGTAATCTTGCAACATGACTGAATTCCTGAGTTCTAATAGTGGTTTTCTTTTGTGTGGTGCTGGGGACTGAACCCAGGGCCTCACACAGGCTAGGCAAACATTCTACTCTTCAGCTACATCCCCAACTCTTGTATATTAATATAGGGTCTCACTAAATTGCCCAGGCTGACCTAGAACTTGCAATCCTCTTGCACAGTGTCTTGAGTTGCTGGGATTACAGGCATATGCCACCACGCCAAGTTCTAAGTTTTTGGGTGAAGTAGTTTGATTTTTAAACACAGAAAAAGTGTGGCTGCAGGGTAAATTCACTACCTTGTTATGGGTTATGGAATTCTGACAAGGTATGCCTAAAAGGTAGCAAAATTTTAAGAATCATCAGTATCAAGGACATCAAAATATGTAAACCAAAGGTTTTTGCCCAAATATCATCACCAAAGACCCTGTCTAATAACAGTGCAACACCGGCATCCATGAGGTACTGGATCCAGTCCCCAGCACTGGGGTAAAATTCTGCCTGAGGCATACAAAATACACAATTTAAAAAAAAATTTTTTTGGAGACTATGTAGTCCAGCTGGCCTCAAACACTTGTGATCCTCCTGCCTCAGCCTCAGTGCTGAGATTACAGAAATGTGCCACCACACCTACCTAAAATATCCAATTACTATCTTTAAAAAAGAAAGCTCTTAAAAAAAAAAAAAAGCTCTTTAATTACAAATCCTACTTCATTAAAGAATAAAATCCTCAAACTTAATCCTGAACAGTCTTTAAAACAAGTTTGACTTCCAGGCTATTCTGGGTGGTTTAATTTGAATTTAATCATTTTATCTGACTATAGGCTATGTACACATAATTTTCATCTCAATAAATATTTGTTGGGCTGGGATTGTAGCTCAGTGGTAGAGCTCTTCCCCAGTGCGTATGAGGCCCTGGGTTCAATCTTCAGCACTGCAAGGAAAAGAATTGTCGTGCAGTATAGGGTAATGTTTAGACCATAGGATTTGATAGTTCTAGATTAGAATCCTGGTTCTCCTACAAATTAGTTGTTTGACCTTTGGCAATTTCCTTGACACTTTTGCTCCTCTTTAAAAATTGGAATAACAGTATCTGTCCTTATAGGATTGAGAAATGATACAATTTCTGGGTGTATTTATTTTGAGACAGGGTTTCCCTATACAGTCCAAACTGGCCACGAACTCAGTATGTAAGCCTAGGCTGGTGTCGAACTCAAGATCCTCCTTACCCTCCCGAGTGCAGGGATTACAGGTGTTCACCACATGCCCAACTATAAGATAGCATTGTATGACATGACATCTGTTAAGGTGCTATATAGGGAAGCATAAACGCTGTCCTATAGCAACAGAACGATATGTTGGAAATAAATACAAGGCTATGACATGCTCAGATTTGACAGATAGTTTGTCTTCTATTTAGGGGATAAGAGGGAGTGAATCATAAACAAGACTAGTAAGAAGGCTATAATAATCTAGGAAAACTTTAGGTGGCATCACAATTTAGGGTTAGCTGAGGATAGCAGTGCAGACTGGAGCCTTGCTGTGTCTAGTGTCATGAGCTTCAGGAAATAACTTCCTGTTATGGCCTATAAGACAATACTGTCATCCATCTTTCATCTTTACCTTAATCATTTAGAAGATTCCAAAGAACGCTGGATCTTAGGCACCACTTTACAGAGGAAACTAAGACACAGCAGCCCTATTAACAGGGCCACTAGTCACACTGTAGTCTACAAAAATGGTACCACCTTCTGAACACAACAAATATGAATGATGGCTCTTGGAGTTGTGTACCACATCAATGCTGGTGAAGAGGTTATAGCATGGTAAGTAGAGAGGTTGATCTTTACCTCAAAACTTGTGGTTTCCTCACTCTATCAAACTGTTGCTTATCATGGTGTCTTACTTACAGGTTTGTAACATATTTAGGGCTAAACATTAAATTAAAAAGAAAAACAAATCAAACATCCCAGATAAGGGTTTTTCACAAGAACCTGGTAGACTTTTAAAAATGAATTTAATGGAATCCTATACACTAGTTACTTAACAACAATTTAATGTAATTTATGTATTCTTAAACCACTGCTTAACAGGAAAAAATAAATGTAAGGGCCCAATCATTTATTTTGTACTTCTCTAAAACAGATAAATAAGATTTACAAAAAAAAAAAAAAAAAAAAATTAAAGACTACCCATAAAAATTAAGACCATGAATCAATTTTCTGTTGACATTTCTTGAATTATCCCCCAAATTTTAGGTCAGCTTCCTTAGAAAATGCTGCTATAGTTGTTATGTTGGCAAAAATAAAAACAACAGAAAAAACACCTAACCTTAGTAAAAAGCACACATTTAGCAAGAATATTTCTAAACACAGGAATATTTCTTCAGGTCGAAAATTCCAATATGCTTTGTCCAGAAAAGGGGAAGGTATGAAAAATATAAAACAAAAAAGAATACTGGCTCATTGTACACACAAAAGGCTAGCCATTAGGAGTTGCTGTCAACAGAGTAAAAGGGAATAGATATTCTCTGCAGTCAAATGCTCTACCACTGAGCTATACCCCCAGGAATAGATATTCTCTGGATGAGTACCTAGACTGTGATCAAAATGAAAAAAGAGGAAGAACCAGGTACATAGTTTTGTGAGTATTGATAAAAATAAAGATATCTGTAATACCCTACATACAGAAATTTTTTTTTTGGTATGGGGGATCGAACTCAGGACCTTGCGCTTGTAAGGCAGGCAGTGACACCACTGAGCTAAATCCCCAGCCTACCTAGAGAATTTTAAAAATGAGATTCACAGAACTGCAACAGCAGAAGAAACTTTAGATTTAGAAACCTCTCATTTAACTGATGAATGTCACAATAGTTCAGTGACCTGCCCAAGAACACAGGTCACCTCTAGATACATTTTTCTCTGTACTCTCTCTCTTATCTGTCCCTAATCATTTGAAGTAGTCCTCCTACTTCTCTTTCCTCTACAATGTGCCCCATTCAGGGTACTGAGAGGAACGAATCCTGGATTATGTTTAGACTGTCTAACAATGAGACATTATTTTATCACTAAAGTACTTGGGTGTGGGAAACAGGAGAAATACAAAAGAAAATCTGACAACAATAAGAGAAGCACATGAGGAAATATATTTCTCTTTCGTAGTTATTTTGTTACTGTTATTTTAAGTCCATATATTATATAAAACATAACAGAAATCAGATTTATAAAATAGGTTGAAGTGTTTGGATGAAAAAACACAAGTTTTTTTCCCTTCATGTCTACAGATCCCTCAATAAAATTTTTTTTCCTTGAGATAGGCTCTCACTATGTAGTTCACGCTGTCCCTGAACTCACTAAGTAGCGTAGGTTGGCCTCATGGCATGGCGATTCTCCTGCCTCAGCCTCCCAGAGTGCTGGGATAACAGGTGTGTGCCACCACACCTGGCTAAATTGTTGGTCTTGCACTTTAGATACCAAAAAAAGATATCTAGCTTAAAAACAAAAAATTGATATGCTGCAAGGTTAAACTGTAGTTTGGTGATGGGCCAGGAAATGACAGATTTTCTAAATCTTATCCTAAAATATTGGTTATAAGCTGATATGCAAAATCCAAGCTTCTATCAGATAGCAACAGGGAAACTTCAGTGAATGAATGCAGTTTACCTCCAAGTTCTCTGAAAGGAGGTGAAAAAATAAATACTGTACTTTACCAGTGCTCACCACAAATCATTATTCTAAGCATGTAGGAGGTTACTGTGAGCAGCTACATAATAAAATCCAACCCAGAGGTAGGTTCAAGGCTAAGAGTAGGAATGAAATAATCCTTCTAGGGCCAGTTATCATTTCACAGAATGCCCATTTGTGCTGGAGGATGAGCCTATGGCCTATTTTCTTCCCAATCAAAAGGACATTCCCAGTTTTAACCTTGCTGAAAGAAGCATTCTTGTACCTATTGAGAACAGTTAGGATACAGGGTAAGGCTGGCATAAAAGTATTAGCAAGCACATGCTAGCTATTCCAGTTTGAAATCTACCAAACTGTAAAAGCGAGCAGAAATAAAAACTTGAAGATGAACTGTTGTTCCTCAAGATGAGGGAACATAATCTTACAACAAAGAGAGGTCCCTTAACTCTAAGGAGAACATCTTTCTCAAGCTAGGTGGAAGATAAGGAACAGTATTACCAAAAGCTGACCAGGCCACTTAAAGATCAAAAGGAGGGAAAGAAAGCATTTAGGGAGAAAGATGGTGGAGGGGATATAGGTCAGTGGCAGAACAATTGCCTAGTATGTGTGAAGCCCTTGGCTTGATCCCCAGCACTGTAAAGGAAAATGGGAAAGAAAAAAAGGAAGTAACAGAGTAAAAGAAATTCTGGGTCTGACCAGGTAAGTGAATCAAAGGTAACTACACCAAAGATAAGTGACCCATTACTCCAGCATGAGACTAGTAGTAAAATATCTTAAGACATCTTTAAAAAATTTTTTTTGGTTTTCTGAGACAGGGTCTTACTGTGTAGTTCATAATGGCCTTGAACTCACTATGCAGCCCAGGTTGGCCTGGAACTCGAGGTAATCCTCCTGCCTCGGCCTCCCAAGTGCTGGGATTACAGGTGTGCGCCACCACGCCCTGCTCCTTAAAATATCTTTTTTTTCCCCTTAAGGTATCTTAAACCCAGAGAAATGTATGAAAAATATGGCAGTTAACCAAACAAATTAAAACCAAACCTCCAACAGTAAAAATCTCTTCAGATTTGAAATCAAAGACTCATTTTTCATTAATTCTGTGTATTACTGGGGGGAAAAAGGTAGCAAATGTAAAGATTTGTTTTATTTCTACTGGAGGAAGAGGATAAATAGAACTGTATTTCAATTTGTTCTCCGTTGTGTATACACACACCCACAAACATACATATACATACATACACCAAAATTAACCCCCCCAACAAAAATCCAAGAATCAAAACCCCAAACACCCTCAAACTGTACCAATACTTCATATTTTGACCAAAAGAATAGATCCTGGTAGGAAGTGCAAAATGCAAAATCAAATGACCGAAAAATGCTGAACAAACAGCATTATTAATATACAAAATATTTATATTACTGAACTAGTAACAGATGATGTTCTCTGTGTCGGTAACACTTTGGAACCACATAGCTGATTTGTTAAATCTAGTCCATGCCAGCTTCCAAACACCAGAAAAGATTTTAGTTAGCTTCATTCTTTGACGCTTCATCAAAATTTTCTACAAGATCTGAAAAAAACCCCAAAGAAGTAAATGAGTCAAAAAAAGGGGAAAACAAAGTAAATGGAATACTGAACTTCAAATCCCAATGAAGACAAAATTGTTGCAACAGAATTAGCCTGAATAGAACATACAGAAATGAACTAATGGCATTCCACTAATTATGATTCATTTATCTGTTTTAAAACAATAATCTGAAGGAAATGTTCTTTTTTTTGGTCTATGCAAACTACTAAGGTGAAAGGCATTTTCTTATGTCAATTATAATTCCCATAGAAATGTTATATAACTATGCAAATTTATAATCACAGTAATTTCAATATAATGTAGGCAGCAGAAAATTTGTATGTATGAAAATCTGATTCTATGTTTTAATAAGGGAACTTTTATTCTTTTTCATTAGATCCTATCCACATCATTGTAAATCAATTTAAATTCAGAGCTCACAGTCAACAAAATCCTGAAAGTCACCTATTCAATTAGTGAAATGAGATAAACAGTATGTTAAAAATCTTAAAGACTAAAGGGCCAGGGATTTAGCTCAGTGGTTCCGCAGCCTGCCTTGCAAGCGCAAGGTCCCGAGTTCAATCCCCGTACCAAAAAAAAAATCTTAAAACTAAAGAAATGTCACTTACCTGGAACATCATCATCTTCTTCATCAATGTCTTCTGGTTTTGGTGCTTTGCTATCCAACACTACAAAAAGTTTACTATTAGTCACGAAGAACAAAGACCTTTACAGAACAGTTATATGTTTACAGTATTCTTTTTTCCTGTCTAAATCTCACATAGTTGTTTAGAAAAAGCTAAACACTATCAATCTAAAATCCATTCATAGTTTTTTGCTTAACAATAAAATTAATAAAACTTTAACAACTGGATATACACTAAATATAGCTGGTGATTTCAATGTGCAGTACAGGTAAAATTTATATGCAAAATGGAATAATTCAGATGGGTCTGAATGAAAATACATTACAATAAGTGACAGTGGCCTTGTTCTCCAAGAAAAATTAATATCAAAAATTTTTTTCTATTTCTTTCAGAGTATCTAGCTATGCAGTATGTACAGTACACTGAAATACAGGACTCTTTGTGAGGGGCAATAACACATATCTGAAATCATGACTATCTTGGAAATCAAGAATTTATGGTTAGTATATCTATAGTACAAAAATAATGAATCTGAATATTTTATATGCTATACTACTACATTACCATTTTTTTTTGGTACCGGGGATCAAACTCAGGTCCTTGCACTTGCAGGGCAGGTGGTGGAACCACTGAGCTAAATCCCCGGCCCCTATGCTACACTACATTAGTTATTAAAAGAAGCTCAAAGTTTTATGAAGCATTCAAGTGACATTATACAAAGGAAAGTCTGCACTGAGGCAAATCTTCTCAATTTAAAATGGGACACCTTTAAATAATTAAGTTCCTTAATGAAGTAGGTGGAGAGCAGGGGAAAACGTACCAACAAACTGAAATACCTACCTTGCCGTGGGAACTGTTCAGCTAATTTTCTAAGACTTGTTAAGCTGTCGGCACCAAGCTGACTTAATATTCCAGGAAGCATTTCTGTGATTGGTTTGGCTTCTGCATGACCAGTAATTGCAAAGGTGTTAGCAGAGAGGGAAGCCTGGACTTTGGGATTGTTGAAATGAATAACTGTCCCATCATCTTTAATCATGTTCACCTGTATGATTACAGAAAAAAATGTACTTTACATGCTAAACACAACCAAAACAATACCTTTTTTAAAAAGCAATCTAGGGCTGCGGATTTAGCTCAGTGGTTCCGCCACCTGCCTTGCAAGTGCAAGGTTCCGAGTTCGATCCCTGGTACCAATTTTTAAAAAAAGGAATCTAGCCAACTATGTTTTTTTATTTAGTAGCTATGAAACTTCAAAGTAGTAATTAGCGAAGCAGTGGATATAGGTGGAAAAAGACTCTAGCAATAAAATACAATGGTGTGGGATGGCACAAATTAGTAGAATGGTCAGAAAAGTCATTTTATTATAGAATCTAGATTTCAAATTCAGACTTCTATGAGAAGGAAGTTCATGCCCACATTGAAAAAAAGGAATTGTCAACCAAGAACCAGCTTTTTAATGAAACTACCAATTATCTTACTCAATTTACATTATCAAATAAATTGGTGCAATTGTTACTTGATGAGGTAGCATCTTGCTTAGGGGGACTGACTGGATATAAAGAGGAAACAGGGTATGGTAAAAATAACCACTGAAAATCCACAAAGAACACTCAGAAATTTTACCAAATAGGTATTTCACTATTTTGAACACTTAGTAAATTTACAAAAATTTCAATTGCCTCTTATCATTTCACTCTTAATGGGATTTTGTCAGTTCCTCTAATTCTTTAGAGATGGGGTCTTGCCATGTTGGACTCAAGCAATCCTCCTGCCTCAGCTATCCAAGAAGCTGGGACCATAGGCACATGCTACAGTGCCTGGCTAGTTCTTCTAAGTCTTAAGTGTAGTTTCTCAACAACCTTCAGTAATCTCTGTAAATATTAAAGAAACTCTCCCACCCACTTGCCTACCTGAACATGCTATATCAGTAACTGGAAAACCTTTAAAATCATCCCAACATTGTTTCTATAGCTTTGACCAGGGCCGGGGGTTTAGCTCAGTGGTGCTGCCACCTGCCTCATAAGCGTAGGGTCCTGAGTTCGATCCCCGATACCAAAAAAAAAAAAAAAAATAGAGGTTATAGCTTTGACCAATATGAACTGATTATTTCAGATATGATTTATTCCACTGCCAGGACTTGCTGAACAGGTACTATTTAAATTGTTAGTTTTTGCTGTGTATGGTGGTATATGCCTGTAATCATAGCTACTTGAGAGGCTGAAGCAGGATTCCAAATCTGAGGCCAACCTAGGTAACTTAGCAAGATCTTGTCTCAAAACAAAATAAAAATGGCTGGGGATGTAGCTCACTGGTAGAGTACTTGCCTAGCATGCATCTAGGCCCTGGGTTTGAATCCCTGTACTGAAAACAAAGTTGTTATTTTTCTCTCTCATTCATATACTTTCTCTCCGCTTCTTTTGGCAAGGGAGGGTACGGCTGAATTTCCATAAGTTAAATGTGTAAATAATGTGATTTCACCATGTAGTTGATTCCACTGGGTAAGTTACCTTGGTGGTAACATGCTTATAAATTAAAAAGGTTAGGGGAGTTAACTCTTGGCTACTTTAGAAGCATTTCATGATCCATCCAAAAACTGCCCTTTTCACAATCAAGCAGAGATGCTGAGTGTTCTTCATGGTCAGTGGGAAATGGGCTTCTCTTCCTCAGAGGTGATCACCACCACTGACAGCACCAGAAAGGAAGGGGAAGAAAGGGGCTTCTAATTTCAGGCAAGACCTGGAACACACAGAAAATAAAGACAAATCCCTGGAAAATTATAACTAAACTCCACTAATAATTTCCCTTCCAAAAATCACTATTTCAATTCTGTATCTTTCCCTCTCTCAGTACTGTACCTGAGGTTCTTTTCCGTGTATCATACACAATAAGCATTCAATCTTGCTATTCTAAATAAACAGACTCATGATCATGGCTTAATTTATATTAATTTAGAAAAGATAAATTATATAATTCTGAAGATGGCTACAGTGTCAGCAGAAAGGTCAAATGTTAAGAGTGGCTAAAAATGTGGGAGGCCTGAGAAGGACCTACTAGTGGACACTGTAGGTAACAGGGGAAGGGGATGTTACCAGAACCTCTGTAGTAAGTCTTAGTCTCCTGTGAGCCACGGCAGCACACGGCGAATTACAGGAAAGGTAGACAAATGAGAAGAAGCTGAGCTTTGGGTCTGATCAGTGTTGTTCTGGGCAGCAAAGACCAAAACCCCCCTAGATTGTAGCACTTTTTATTTAGTACATGGGGAAACAGATATGTAGAGTTCAGTACTTTACATTGGGATAAACAAGGTGTAACAAAAGACTGGGGGGCAGTGGAAATCTAAGAACAATGAGGAACTATGCAGATGAAGATCTGGTTCCTCCCGGGTATATCCCGCAGGTGTGGTCTTGTCCTGGAGCATTACATTATCCAGGGATCACTGAGGTCTCAGTTGTGACCAAAGGCCAAAATGTAATTATGTCTGGAATGTCTTAGCTGGCCTGTAGACAGGAGAACTAGGCCTACTCAAATGATTTTTTTCTAGAATTATGTAGCATTGTTCCCAACAGACATGATATCAGATGTTGCCCTAAATTTATCCTAGAATCAAATAATCTTCCTATGGCAAACCAATAAGGATATGATAGGACTATATTTTCCAAATCCAGCCCAAATCACACGGTTTAATAAAGGATTTCATACTTTCAGTGTGAGAAGTCTCAAATATTGGAGTTTGAGACACTTCTGACTTGCACACATTAAAGTCACAAGAGATTGAAATTCCTAGTACTGTTTCATAATTCAGTTGAACTTTGAAGTCTTCCAGTTCAAATCCTTTATGTTAAATACTGACAAGAGCTCTTAACTAAATGGAAACTGAGTACTTGAATGCAACCTGCATTTATCCACTTACTGTTTAATTTCTTTCCTACACTATTACTCTCATGCTCAAAACTTAATTTCCTTATAAAAATTCAATTCTATCCAGGTGTGGTCGGCCGTAATCACAGTTATTTGGGAGGCTAAAGCAGGAAGATTTCAAGTTAAAACTAGTCTGGCCAATTTAGTAAGACCCTGTTTCAACAAATAAAAAGAATATCACGCATGGTGGTGCATGCCTGTAATCCCAGCACTTGGAAGGCTGAGGTATGAAGATAACCTGGATTACCAAGAGTTCAAGGCCAACCTGGGCTATATAATGAGTTCATGGCCAGCCTGAACTACACAGCAAGACCCTGTGCTACCCCCCTTAAAAAAAAAAAAAAAAAAAAAGAGTAAGAAGGGCTGAGGATGTAGCTCAGTGAGAGTGGCCCTGGGTTCACTCTCCAGTACTGCAAAATAAAACAACACAACAAAAACAAAACAATCCTTTGGCCCTATGAAAGCTTGCCAGAGAACTATTATCTCAGAATACAGTCCAAATGGAGAGAAGTGAAAAAAATGGCACAAAATATATGATATGGCCAATATATATTCACTGGTTGCAAAATAAGAGACTAACACAGGGACAAAAGAATACATTCATGAATTTTTCTTCTGTTTAAGCTCTCCATCCAGAGGCTGAATGTTAAGTCAAATTATGCATCCTAATACAGGTCTTTGTAATTTGAAATGCTGTTGGAGTTTAGCATGAAAATTAAGATGAACTCCATTTCAGATTGTGAAACAGAAATAAATTTATTCATAGTACCCATGGTGGCACACACCTGTAATCTAAGCACTCTGGGAGGATCACCAGTTTGAGCCAAGCGTGGGCAATTTAGCAACTTTGAAAGACCCTGTCCCAAAAAATAAAAAGGGCCAGGTGTGGTGGCGTATACTTGTAATCCCAGCACTTGAGAGGCTGAGGCTGGAAGATCACAGCAAGTTTGAGGCCAGCCTGGGCTACATAGTGAGTTCAAAATCAGCCTGAATTACACAGCGAGATGCTGTCTCAAAATAACAACAATAAACAAACAAATAAATAGGGCTGGGGATGTAGCTCAGTGTGAGGGCCGCAGTTTAATCCCCACTACTGAGAAAAAAAATTCATGATTGTGTTAAATGAGGTGGCATAAAAGATGTAGCTTCATGAATAGAGGTCCAGAAAGGGGTAATTTTAGAACACAAGGAATGAAATACAGCACTAGAAGTTTAAAAGGTCAGAATATTTTATTTCTAACATTCTCTCCTTCCTAATGAGCACATGACATGGTTATATAATGTTCCTGGGCACAAGCTATAAGAAACATCAAACCATGAATTGTTTGGATGAGCAAGAACAACTAGACACTTCCCCCACCCTTTTACGCAAAAGAAGGGATAAGGACCTTGTTAAATTCACCAAGTAAACTATATGCATTTCATATGGAGACTTCAAGTCATACAATCTATATGTATAGAATAAGAACAAGGAGCAGACAAGTAAACAAAGGCTAGCTATTATGGCAGTGCTTAGGCCCCTTTTCAGTCAAAAATCCCCCTTTGGGCCAAGGATGTAGCTCATCAACACAGCACCTGCCTGGAAAGTGCTAAGTCCTGAGTTCAATCCCAGGTACAAAAAAACCAAAAAAAATCCCCTTTATGTGAAAATAGGGTTTTTTCTTCCCACTTAAAGGTAGTCAAAGGTAAAGGTTGCTATTTGGCATTCTGAGATCCCAATCCAAAAACAGGACACCTTTGCTCTAATTTTTTGCCCTAACAATCCAAAGTACCTTGTAGTTAACAGAAGCCATTTTATCCTCCCAAGCCTAGTGCATTTACATGTGCGGCTTTCATTGTGCAGAACAATCATTTCCTGCGTCTCTACTTATAAATTTTCATTTAGCCAAGGCTCAGGTCAGATCTTTCTGTGAAAACTTTTAAGTAGGTTATGTACTTACTGGCCTTCATAAGTAATGCTGTTACATAGAACTGCCTTGTAGTATAACTGTGTTTGCAAATCTTTGGCCCTATTAGAGGGTGAACTCCTTGAAATGAGAGACCAAGCCTTACTAGATATAGGATTCTCTGAAGTGTCTACAACAAGATAATCACTGTTATTTGCTGAATCAATACCTCCTACAC